GGGGTTTTAAACTACATGAAAATTATTCATAACATGATTTTTTATAAGGGTTACTAAAAATATGACTAAATAAAGAAAATAAATAAAACAAAATTGATGGCACTGTATTCCTCTTCCTTTCCTTCCTTTTTTGTTTGTTTTATACAAGAGAATAGTTTAAGCATTCAGGAGATAAATATTGTTGTAATAAAATTTCTTTAAAACAATGTTCATATAACACTGCTCTTTTTCTCCCTCAGTTCTCCTGTCCATTTGTTCACTTCTCACGGACCCGAATCCAGATGATCCGTTGGTGCCAGAGATTGCACGAATCTACAAGACAGATAGGGAAAAGTACAATGAATTGGCAAGAGAATGGACAAGGAAGTATGCTATGTGATCCCCTGGTGGCAGAGTGGCAGAGAGCGTCAACGCCCAGCCCCCGCCACTGCCATACGCAACACCTTAAACCACCCTGACCATCGCTGCCATCACAGTGACTGCTGCTGCTGATCCTTCTATCCTATGTCATCCTGCTGCAATTTTATTTTATTTTATTTTTTCAATTTTTTTTTTTTTTTTTTCTTTCTTTCTTTTTTTTCTTTTTTACTTCCACCCATCACTACTCAACTGGCTGGTGGATCAGTAAAAGAAATATATGTCTAAATATTGCCTCGATGATTCATCACTGCACTACCAGCATTCATCACCACCACCTTTTGACCAGCAGCTTGTAATTTGGCACAGATCAGGTGGCTCTGAAGTCAGGGCTTGGAGAATACTAGCCCCCTCCCCCCCAAGTGAAGTGCCACTGCCACCAGCAGGTCTGATTTGTACCTAGATTTGTTGTGTACACAGAAATATGCCTCATCCACTGTTGGAAAATGATCACGCTTGCGTTCTGTAGTTGTAATTGTGGGTATTTCTTGGGTCATTTTGCTAGTATGTGGCCAGTTGACTCTAATAATTGTTGGGGGAGAAGAGAAACAAAAAAACAAAAACAAAATAAAAAAACAGGGACTGGAGCCCTCTGAACCAATATATTTACCAGTGCAACATTTCATCTTTTATTTTCACACCCACTGTAACACCTCTAAATTATGATATTCTTGTATGTGTCCTAAGCCACACCCTGCTTTGTTAATTACAGAAATGGGGAAACCTCTTATGTGACTAGTTCTGGGTTCCTATATAATTATTATTATTATTATTGTTATAAATTTTTTTCTTTTTAAAAAATTCAGTTTCTTTGAATTTCAATTTTTCCTTTCTGTAATATATCTTAAATCACTTTCACCTAACTGTGTAGTCATTCCCTCCTAATCCCACCAATTTCCAGCCTGTGTGAGTTTTCCTAACATACAAGAAAGGGGAGTAGGCGGTCCGTAACACACAACCTCAAAAACCATCAATACTAGGCTATTGTTTAACATATAACTTGCCATGTCTCATTTTCTCTTTATTTTATGATTGAAAATTGTATTCCCTATCCCTGTGATTTTTTGTTTTAGAATAATAGGTTCGTTATTATTACTATAATGAAATGTTATTTATTTATTTTTTTTTTATTTTTTTTTCTGCAGAATTATTGTAGTAACAAAATGAAGATTTGAATTTTTTCTGCCTTTTTATATTTCCTTTATATTTTTTATATCATTTTTATTGATATTATTATTATGCTTAGATTCTGATTCTACTTTTACTCTACTATAACAACATCTATCATGGTCTTTGTCTTTATTTTAGATTTTATTATTATTATTATAATTAATTTTTAAGCTGTGTAGGTCCAATACCGTCTCGTTGAACATCCTTGGGCTCTTCCGTGACTCACTAGTCATCCCTGCAACAAATAATATTGGAATCGCTATCATAAGGGCGACCATGTCATGAGACGCCCATAGGTAAGAGTTTTCATCCTCATCACCGAAGAGCCTGGTAGTCATTGGGACAAATATCAGCTTTTTGCCTGCCTCTCATGAGACTAGGAGGAATTTCATTTTTTAAAAAAGTTTTGATTTATAATTTTTCTGGCAGAAAACATGGGAAGCAGGTATATTTAAATACATGGCTGTTTGGTTAATTTAATACAGTATTCAAAGTAAATCTTTTCAATACAATTTTGTCAAATAAAGGTGTACAGAACACAAGCATTGTTTTTCTGAAACCTGTGTAATATATATATGTATATGTATATGTGAGATTATATATATATATATATATATATATATATATATATATATATATATATTTATATATATATATAATGTGTATGTATAATTTATTATATTATATGATTTTCATCTGCTTGAAATTCTTTTGGTGGGGGGGGGAGTGGGGGTTATTGCACTAATGAAGAGGATTAATATTAATGATTACATGCCCCTCAATCCCCTGCTCATTGTTGTAGTGGGGGGGGGGGGGCTAAGGAGACGCATTGAGGCCCAAGATAGAGGATCACTCCTACCTTGGACCTTAGCCCTTGCCTCAACTAATTTTCCATAGTTTTCCCTTCTCTCATTTTCCTTTTCCTTCCTTTCCTCATCCCCTTCTGTTCACTTCCTAGGTGTGAGAGCTATGCTGAAAGGACAAAAGGCTGGCTTTGTGTCAGTTCTGGTCTTTATTCTCTTAATTCATGCTCCTCCCTGTTTACCCTTTACTAACCTCCAGCAATATAAAACCTTCAACATGTAATACATTTTGTCCTAATAACTAATTTTTATTCTTTTCACCACAATACTTTATCATATTGCTTATATACCCCCCATTCCCTTGCTTGTCATGCTGGAGGGGGGGGGCTTAGGAGACAGAGACTGAGGCCCAAGGTAGGGGGATCAACCCTACCTTGGATATGAGCCTTCATCTCAACTAATTTTTCATGGTCTTTTCTTCTCCCCCCCTTCCTTTTCCTTCTCTTCTGTCCACATCCTAGTGTGAGAACTGTACTGAAAATATAAAAGGCTGGCTTTGTGTCGGTTCTGAATGGCCTTCATACCCTATTTGCTGTTCTTCCTTATCCTTTTCACTACCATACAAGCCTGCAGCGCTCTACAATCTTTTGACACCTAACATATTTTATTTTGGTCATTAACTAATTTTTAACCTTTTCACCACAATACTTTATCATAGTGCTGTATGACATTTGATGTCTGGCACAATTATTTGTTTTGACCATTAACCATTCTGGAAATCCATAAACATCGCCTTTTTCCCTAAGCTTCACCCCAATGCTAGATTTTGAAAATGCTGCTAATGACGATGTTGATGCAGCAGAAATTTTTCAGTAAATAAAATGAAAACTGCTGTATCACCTTTGATGTCTGGCACATTATTTGCATTGACCATTGACCATTGACCATTCTGGGAATCCACAAACATTGCCTTATGAACGAAAAAACTTCCTTACCCACGGGCTTCGTCCCCAAGCCACACCCTATCACTACATTTTGAATACACCACTAATAAACTTTATTGTTGATGAGGCAGAAAATTTACATAAAATAAATTAATTAATTAATACATGCTGAGGTTGTGCTCTAAGTTTTTCCAGTTCTTTGGGTTGACAGCATGACTGTTCCTTAGTTCTTATGTTGTGTGCCAGATTGAAGAGGCTTGTATAACATGCAAAAGATTTTTTGTTAAATGATTTCTTTACCTTATTCCAGAGGGTAATGTAGAAACTTTTAGAAACCTCAGTTTAGAAGAAATGTAGTAATGCTTTTGAGTGGTATGTTTCATTTAACCCCGTGATATCAGGAGGAAATGTGTACATGCTGTGTCCACTGTTATTTTAGTTTATTTTGTTTACTTATAGATAGGTCCACATTTGCTTTGTCACCAAGAGTCAGTTGCTTGGCCTGCCAAATGTCACTTTTTAGCCTATTTGAATTCTTGTAGTTTTTATTTTATTTACTATATAGTACTTACTAGTAATAATAATAGAATTCAAAATTAATATAAAAGCTGGTAAACAAGTGAGCCCAAAATTGGCCTAGTAATGGACAAAGTGTGACAAAGAAAATTAAAAATTACAGTGGCCAGAGCACCTATCTGGAATTGAATAGCTTTCCTTGGACAGGCATTGTCTGTCATGCTGATGTTTAAAGGCCTGTCTACATGGGCAGGAACGATAGGTGTGCACAACAGTGGGTACCTGTAAAGGTGAACTGGATGAGGAAACAAGTGTTACTTCACCAAGTTGTTTATCCAGCTGTGACATCTATACTCATGCTCATCCTTGTGTGTGCCAATTCTGCCCATTTATGTGGATAGGCCTTTAGTAGTGGTAACAATACTGCTTCTAATACACTTTCCATTGGTGTTTGGCATTGTTTAAAAAAATGTTTAATGTATAACTTAAATGCATTTTGTTTAACAATTTCTCATTGGATTATTTTTTTTATGAACATTGAGATTTTACAATTATAGCTATTCTCATCACACTAATACTGCCCCTCCTATAAAAATCACATTCTTTAAAATGCCTTCATCTGCTTTTTGCAAAAGATACCAGTTCAGTTAAGTTCACTTGCTGCCACTTCTTCTTACTTTGTCTTGTCAAATACTTTGGGAATCATAGCTCAAGGATTTTTTTCCCCAAATTTAAATACCAGGTTAATGATAAATTAAATTAGATTAATTTATTTATCAATTGCAATTACTATTTTATGTATAGCCTAGCATTTCTTGCAACCATGATGCTTATGAAGTACATTTGATGTGTCTTGTACTAATTTGTAATTAAGCATGCCTCTCTTTAATGTGTAATTAATCTCTGATCTAGTAATTTAATGGTTTCTTTTAGAGACGGGTAGGAGAAATGTAAAGGGAAAAAATATATTTCCCATTGGATTTTAAGAGATATCCTTAGGTGTTGCCTCCTCTCCAAAGCTGTTATTGGAGCTACAACTTGCAGGTAGCATGTAGTCAGGTAATGCCTAATTCAGGCTTCGCAACTGTGCTGGTTCCACTTTTAACTATTATTCACAGAGTTTCAGAAGTTAAATGAAAGTTTATACACATACATTTTTGCTTTTATTACATCCAACTTAGTTAAAATCTTCAGTGGTACCTGAAAAATATTCCTTTTCTCAATACATCATACAATGAACAGAATATACACATTGGGCTTCTATTTGCCTTGTCCCTTTTTATCTATTGCATAACTGTGAATATGAAACTAACAATTAAAAGGATGAATAAAATGAATTTGCAAAAAAAAAATAATAATAATTACTCAATAGTTACCTTTTTTCCCAATATTACCAGGAGCATAAGGGGAAAAATTGGGAAAGAAACAAAAATATAATTGTAAAAAAAAATGTATATATAATTCTTCCCACTTCACTTGATGATACTTTGGGAATATCGAAGTGTTCAGTAAGAGAATCCAAATGTCTGTTAAATTCTTCCACTTTTTCCTTGTGTGTCAAGCTAGCTTTCTTCAAGATGCGCTCAGCTTCCTGTAGAAAATAATAATATGAATGAATGAATTATAATGTGGAGGTGTGCACGTTTCCAAACTGAAAAAAAAATCAGGGACAATGATTAACAATTTATATAAGGAAAGTTTGAACTGTGGACTGATATGAACCTGTTCATATAATCCATGATGGAATTGAGCTGTGCTGTGGCATGGGTAACACTATCTTTATTCTCTCAATCCTTGCATTTAATAGATGGAATGAAATCGCTAAAAACTTAATGTGTCAAATCCACTCCTCTGAGCTCATAATAATGGTTAATGGTTAAAAGCAAGAAAAAATGTGTTCAACATCTAAGGTCATATAGCACCATAGGAAAGTATATTAAAAGAGTGGTGAAGGGTGATGGTTGCTATGTGTCAACTATCTACAGTAATCTGGAAAGGTTCAAGATGGGTAAAGGAGGAGCTGTGTGAATAGGATATGGTGGGTCTAGGTAAGGGAGTTACTTGAGGGTTTCACATATGTATCCAGGAAGGAGTGGAAATGATAAGAGGGGATGGAGGGACAGAGAATGTACGTTCAGTTGAAGTTGTGGGAAGTGGGTTGTGTTGGGAGGGAGTAGGGGGAATATGAGTAGGAGGAGGATGGGTGTCAGGAGGATGGATATCAGTAGTAGTAGTAAATGAGATTCGAGTGTCTGGATTTGGAGTGGAAAAATAATTTGACTGGAGGAGGTAGAATGTAGAAATGGTAGTGGGAAAGTAAGTAGGTAGGTATAGGGGTGGGTGTAGGAACATCTTGGGGTGGAATGGGAGGGACAGAGCGAACAACATTTCTAGAGTGGGGAGTATGAGAGAAACCAAGTCGGCGTGCTTCCTGTCTGGCTTCACGTAGAGTGAGAACATTTTTGTATCTGAGATTTGCTACCTCAGACTCAAACCTTTAAGTGGGACAGCCTCTATATAAAATACATTATAGGGCCCAGCACAGTTAGCACATGTGCGTGTTTGTGCAGTTTGATCGGGTATGACCGGGTTGGGCACATAGGGGGTATCAAGTCTGTGGAACGGCAGTGTTTGGCAGGATGTCCAAAGCGCTACCAGTTTTGACATTGACGGGGAGTAGGTTGGTACGGTCGAACAGGGAGGGATTGTCCACGAATGTAGATATGAAAGAAAAGGTAGTGTCTGCGGAAAGTAATTTTGGCAATGTTGGTGGGGTTCTTTTGATGACCTCTAGGAGGAATGGAGTACCACTGTACTGATATCATATCATGGTCTTTGAGGCTGCCGAGTAAGTCTTCTCCACAATCTGACCAATCGATATCCATAGGGCAGCTTGCTGGGGAGATGAACACAGTACCAGTACAAGTTTTAAGGGTTGGATGATGTTCTGCAGGAATGGGATTGTCAGAAAGATCAATTAGATTTGATAATGCTATAGTTTCAGTTTCAGATGTAACTGTAACGAGACAGGAATAATCGGGTCGGCTATGGAAAGGGACTCTGTCCACTTGCTTTTGGAGACATTGTTGAAAGAGAAGAGTGTTGCCTGAGTAAAGAACTGTAGGGGGGGGGGCACAAAAAAATTGGTCCTATTTGGCTGGGCTAAATAGAGTATTTAAGATATTTGTAGAGTTGGGGATGGTATAAGGACAGGGACATGTGGAAGAGGGAGTGTTGTTGAGGGGGTAGTATTACGGAAAGATGGAGAATAAGGCTGTAACGTAGTAATAACGGAGGATGGGGTGTTTGATGAAGAAGGTTGTAAGGGTAGAGGTGATGAAGTTAAGAAGTTGGGTGAGTAGGAACGTCTTCTGGAGATTGGGTGGGTGATGCACTAGTAGGCATTGAGGAGTGGGTAGTTGTTTCAGTGTTCAGAGTTGTGGGCAAAGGAGAGCCTAGGGTCAGGGGGCCGAGAGAGATTGAATTCGTGGGGCTATTTGATGAAGGGGCAAGGCTCATTGCCTCTAATATGGGTATAACATCTTCATTACTGGCAATGGGAAGCCTTGACTATATTAGGGAAGTAAACAGTCCACCCCCCAGGGTCCCCTTGAGGGTTAAGGGCTAAAACAGGGGAATACCGTGCCCAT